CAGGGAAGCCAAGAGGCTTTCACCAAGAGGTAAAAACAGACACTTGATTCCAATCAGTTAGAGTTCCACTGGAGGGGTTTTGAGGAGGGTCAGGAAAGTAAGCATGTTGAATGAACTTGATTCATACCAGGAGAGGAGAGGCAGTTTATTGGGCTTCAGAGGGGTCAAGTATGAAGAACTGTCAGGCTAAGTATCCTTTGATGGTGCTGTGAAGAATGCGGTTCTCAGCTGAAGCTGAAAGCCTGGCCAGAACCTGTGCTGGTAGCCATGGCTGTCCAGCTGCCAGGAGTCTGACATAGCCATTTATATGGCCACATGTTCTATCAGTTTATCCTCCCAAAAAAACAAATGAGGGTAGGTGTTATTATCCCCATTTTACAGATGAGGAAACTGAGGCTTAGCAAGGTTAAGTGACTTGTCTAGGCTCATACAGCTAGTAAGTGTCTGAGGCATGATTTGAACTCAGGTCTTCGTGATTCTAAGTCTAGCCCTTTATCCACTGTGCCACCTAACTGCCTAGATAAGTTCAAAAAAAAAAAACCTGAGGGGTCTGTGGTTTAGAGGAGGCTACTTGAGCTTCCATAGTGCCTGGACAGTCACTGAAGCATCTCAGTGTCACCAAGGTTCTAAGGATGTTAACATAAGATAAAAGCCAGAAGAAAAAGTCTTGATGAGACCTCATCCTAGGCCACAATGGCTATCATCAGCATTCAAGGGACCAATGTCAATAAGCATTTAGTAAAGAGTGAGCAGAGCAAGGCCCCTGGAGTCCAGACATGTTCCTACCAAGCTCAGCTACCTCAGAAGATATTGGGGCAAAAAAGAAGAAGAAGAAGAAGAAGAAGAAGAAGAAGAAGAAGAAGAAGAAGAAGAAGAAGAAGAAGAAGAAGAAGAAGAAGAAGAAGAAGAAGAAGAAGAAGAAGAAGAAGAAGAAAGACATTGGGGCATTTTTATCTGGTGACTTTAGTCAGTGAAAAAACATTTATTAGGTACCTGCGGACTAAGACCTCTGGTGCAAGAGCTAGCTGAGCCATTTTTAGGCTCCTTATCCACCTGTCACCCAAATCTCACCTGTGGCTCCAAGAAGCCGTAGCATGAACAGCGGCCATATCCTGGTAAACTTTCAGCAGACAAGCTAAACTGAGTTCAGGGTAACTGACAGGCCTCAAACCTGTTGGTGAGTGGGGAGACAGGAGTGTCTACTACAACCAAGCGAAAGCTTCTCCCAGTGGAATAGGTAGGGGAGAACTGTTTGTTCCAAAAGTCATGAAGGTCACTGAAGCAGGTGCTATGGAATGCTTAGACTTGGTCAGACATCAAAGAATCCAGGGCTTCCACTGAATTCTGGACCATCAACAGTTGTCTGGACTTTGATGATTCTGAAAGAAAGAGTGAGGCTAATGACTGTGAAACTGTGCCTCACTTATATCCAATTCACTTGAAAGTCAAGACGTCACCTGGGATGTCAATGATCCTCTTCAAAAATTACAGACAAAATGGGTGCCAAGCACTGTGCTAAGGTCTGAGTAGTATACAAAGAAAGACAAATGCCAGCTTTTGTTCTCAAGGGGCTCATAGTCTAATATGGAGGGGGTAAGGACAAGCAAAAAAATATGTCCGAACAATTTATACACAAAACCAAATGGAGAAAATCAACAGAGAGAAGGCACTAGAACAAGGAAAGTTTGAGAAAGGTTTTCTATAGAAGGTGGGATTTTAGCTGGGTCTTGAAGGAAGCCAGGGAAGCCAGGAGGCAGAGATGAGGAGGGAGCGAATTGTAAGGATAGAAAACTGCCTGGACAAACGCTTAGAGTGGAGAGATCTAGCAAGGAGGGCTAGTACCAATGGATGGAAGCCTGAGAATGGTTACCCCTTCCGCACTGGCACTTTGCCCATATCCACTTCAATATAAGGAAGGTTGGCATAAGAAATTAAATGGGAATTTTTTAGGAGTTTTGCAGGAGCCGCAGATGATATGCTAAGGCCAGCAGACAACACAGGAAAAGTTTAGAAACTCAGAATTGCATAAAATATATGTATGTTATTGTATAATATCAACACATTTTATCTTTTAATACCATAATTATTCATACTTCTTCTCTGGTAAGAAAGGAGAGCCAACAGGGCAGCTGGGTAGAGCAGTGGGTAGAACACGGGCCCTGGAGTCACGAGGACTCCTTCAAATGAGGCCTCAGACACAAACACTCATTAGCTATGTGACTCTGGGCAAGTCATTTAACCTCAATCGCCTCACCAAAAAAAAAAAAGGCTTAGATTCTTATAATCTAGCCACTGCTCAGATTCTTAAAATCTAGTCACTGCTCAGATTCTTAAAATCTAGCCAACAGTTTACTAATATTCAGACTCCTTAAGAGTCTGCCCAATATGACGGATGTTCTAATAAACCTTGTGTTTGGCTGGAAAAAAAAAGGGAGGGCCAAAATTTTTCACATGGATTTTCTGGATCTACATCCTTGATGTGGAAGTAATAACTGTACATAGTGGGAAGGGGGAGGGGTGTAAGGTGTAAGAAGACTAGGAAGGGGGGGGTGCTGGGACAGTTTATGAGAGGCTTTGAATGCCAGAGGATTTTATATGTGATCCCGGAGGTGAGAGTCACTGAAGTTTGTTGGGCTGGGAGTGAAGTGGTCAGACCAATGCTTTAGGGAGATGGCTTGGATCTATCTTCCTAGGATGGATCAGCTACTGAAGTCCATCAGTCAAAGTGAACTGTTTTCACTTCTGGGGATTCCACTTTAGAAGTCACCAGCACACTGGAGCTCACTTAGAGAAGCCTGATCCAGAGTGGTGTGGAAGGACTGGACACCATACAAGGGGAGAGAATCACTTGGAGGAAGTGGGCACGTTTAGGCTGAAGAAGAGAAGACTCCGGCAGGTCAAGAGATCGGTCTTCAAAGACCGAGAAGCAGGATTCAATTCAACCAGCGGCTATGAAACGCCCAGTAGGCGTCAAGCACAGCCTTGGATATTCAAATACAAGATTGAAGCAACTCCTGACCTCCAGGTGTTTACATTCTAAGGGGAAGGGATTTTGGACTCATTCTGGTCGGCCCCAGAAGGTAGAAGTGCAATGGCAGATTTAGGTCCGATAAAAGAAGCTGCCCCAGGGGAGGTAAGGGGTTTTCTCTAAGGGCCATTCTTGGGGTATCGGTAGAGCACGTATTGCGGAGCACTCGTAGAGTACGTTACGGTACGGGCTAGACTAAGCGACTTTCTACAATCCTTTCCAACTCAATGTCCATGATGTCTTCCTTTTTTTTTTTCTACCTAGTAACATCCTCTGGTAAGCCCCACCCACAGATGCTCCTCTCATTCATCTGGTTATCTGGAGCATTTGTTTCAGATGCTGGCATATGAAGTCCACCTTGATGAGTCAGCCTGCTTAATAAGGTTGGGGTTAGATATCTTCAGAGCAGCCCTAGGGGCATTCGAGGTTGGATTCCTGGAAAGTAGAACCGAGTCATAAGGAAGGCACTAAAGGAGGGTGGCTTGCTGGCGCTTCAGCCGGGAAGCTGTAAAGGCGTCGGACAACTACTGAATAATTCTCATCCAGTCTGAAAGACCCAAGTAAGGGGAGGAAAAGAAAGCGAGGCCTATTTTCTCGAGGTCTGTTTGTTGGATCTGGCCCCCTTGCGTGAGGCCGCTGGCTGCCTAATAACTGTCCTGGTAGTCCAAATCTATTTCCCACCCAATTTGCCAGGTCAGCGCTGTGTGTTTATTTAATTCGTTCTTCTAGAATCCTGTTATTGATGACGCCTCAGAAAGAAGTGTCTCCTAATGACCTCTCCAGGTCTGCAGTTTGGACTCAAATATTTCCCATACACGTGGTAGCCTTAAAGATGGAAAAAGAACCTGGATAGGGAGGAAAGACGAAGCAAAGAGGAAGAAAGGCTTTCCAAGTGTCTGTCGCACTTAATGTGTGCTCTCCACTCCAAATATTCACAGCCCGGACGTTGCTAGGGCGTCGGATAGCCAGAAGGTTAGACCTGGTTGTGCGGATAGTAAATGAGTGAATTCTCACAGCAACTTTAGGACGTGGGGATTCCTGCAGGAAAGCGACTGGCTCATCAAATAGAAATTTAGTAGCTCTCTCCCGGGGGCTACCTGGGAGTGGGGACTGTCGGGGGGTTGGGGGAGAGAGGTGGGCTGGCTGTTCAGGAAATTGCAGTTGTCCCCACCCCCTCCCATCCTGCTCCAACATCCCGGCCGACTGGGCCCTCCTTCTCTCGGGGTCGCGGACTCGGCCAGGAGAGAAGGGAAGGCAAAGGGTCGGGGGGATTATCACCATTCCCGACCCGGGAAAGTCCTAGGGGTTCCTACCATGGCCATTTATAGTCCCCGCTTCTCCCTTCCTTGCTTCTCCTTTGGATGGAGAGGTGGGGCGGGGGGTGGCCGCCCAAAGAAGCCCCCGGCTTTTCCTGGCATTGTTCGGGGATGTGGGATCTTGCACAGAGAGCAGCCGCCGCCTAATCACCCACACCCAAACGAGGGAGGGGAATTGGGGGGGGGGACTCCAGCTCGGGAAGGCCGGGAGGCTCGCGCCTAGCAGCCCTCCAGCACACATAGCTGCAGCCACCGCCTACTCCGCTTCCAGCTCGGTGCTGGGGGTGCTTGGACGAGCGGGAAGGATCCCCCTGGAACGCCTGCTTGCGTCACGACGGCCAAGGCGCAGGAGTGGGTCCCGCTGATTTCAGCGCGCCACCGCGGGTGGGCAGGGGGTGGGAGCCAAGACCCGCCCTCCCTGGGGGGCCGGGCGCTGGGCGGCGCTGGCCTCAGGAGCGGCGGCGGCGGCGGCGGCGGCAGCCCCAGCAGCAGCAGCAGCAGCAGGAGCAGCCACCGAATCAGAGCAGCAGCAGCAGCAGAGACGGCACGGGGCCAGGCGCCGGGTGACGCTGAAGGCAGCTTCATCAGCACCGGCAGCAGGAGAAGGAAGGAGGAGGAGGCAGGGGAGAGGGCTGTTAAGGGGTAGGGGCGTTAGCTGCGTCCTGCCTCGGAACCGGGAGGAGGAAGCAGCAGTTGCCGCCGTCCCCGCCGCCGCATTGCTACCACTGAGACAAGCCATGAACCGCGCTTCTCGGCGGCCTCCCGGTGGCCCCACCGACGACCCCCCCATCTTGGGAGTCTAGCTCGGAGCGCCCTCGCCTCGCCTAGTCTCATCAGCTCTCCCGCCCGCCCAAGGACCCAAAGGTAAAGGAGATGGGGCAGTCAGGGCCAGTGGAGGAGAGGATGGAGAGGAGTGCCAGTCCCAGCACCGCCCTCCTGGCCCTGGGGACTGGGAGGAGGAGGAGGGTGACTAGTCAGGCTCCGTTATAACGTATGACTACTACCAGAACTTACCACCACCGCCTTTTCCTTTTCCTCCTCCTTCCTTGCTCGCTCCTCTCGGCAGCAGCATGCCACCGCCTTCCTCTGCCCAGCCTCTCTGCTGTGACTGTGCCGCAGCTGCAGCCAGCCAGCCGCCTAGTGTGGCTGCTCCAAAAGCTGGCCTCAACCTCTTTGGCCTCGCCCCTTCGCTCTGCCTGAGCTGGCGCCCCCGGTTCCCCAACCTGCTGTGCACTCTGCTTGTGGGCTGCAGGTTCTGGGAACTGGAAGATGGAGGAGGAAGAAAGGCGGTGGTAGGGATGAGGAGAGGTTAGCATCGTTTTCGCTCACCTTGGGCACATTCCTCTGGGGGCACAGCAACTGCCTTCTCTCATCAGCTTTCCCCCACACCTAAGTCCGAAGTTGAAACTCATTAAAAGGAAGAGAAGGGAGTGGGAATTAAAGATTAGTGATGGCAAAGGGGTGTCTCAGAGGTGTCCATTCACCAGCTTCCCCAGCCGGCGGGAAGAAAGAGGTGATAGCCCGACCCTTGAGGACGGGGAGGCGCCCAGTGTTCGGAGGCAGAGGCTGCTCACCTCTTCCCACCAGATCCGCCAGGCTTGTGAGAGGGACCACTCTACCCCCCTCCTCCTGCTAACTTGTTCTTTCGGTAGCTTCTAAATCTTTGCTCTCTTTAAAGATTGCAAAAATAAAAAAGGGTGGTTACGAGGGGAGTTTGTACTTGCACCTTCCTTTTGTCACAGCCATCTCTTTTTTTTTAATCCATTTCCAAGTCACCCTCACGAAACCACACTCAATTTTAGAGCATCCCCATATATCTATCTCACATCCTCCCATGTGGGTCTTTCAGAATGTTGCTGCCAAACTTTACTTGGGTGTTGAAGAGTCCTTAGGCTTTTAAAATTTACAAGAGAGCTTGGGAGTATGAGAAAGGAATGATCTCTCATTTCTTTGCTTAAGCTTTTTTGGGGAATGGGAGTGGTCAGTTCAGATTTTGACAAGTTGAGGCTTTAATTAATGTATCACTGTCTCTTGTGAGTGTGGTTTCCCTAAAAGACCTCAGTCTAAGAAATCTACACCTTGCTGACCATCAGTGGTTCCTGCTAGATAACAAATGATTTCCAAAGCAATAAGGCCCCGGCAAGCCTATTTCTCTTAATGTGTAAACTAGCAGAAACTGGGGGTGTAATTAGGTCTAGGACCTCTGCCCTAGAAATAATATTGGTATCTGCAAAAGTTGTACTCTTGTTTAGGTATATTACAAAATACCCAAAATAAACCAAGTTAATGAATTCAAGTTTTTATGGGATTTGGGAGGTCACAAATAGGCTGCACTTCAGAAGTTTTGCTGAGGTCAGTACACCATACTGGAAACAGAAAAAAAATAGCAGATCAGATTTGTACTGTAAGAAGTGTTTTAGGTATTTTGCTTTAGATGATAGGAGGGTCCAAGATGAGAAGCTTATGGGTTTCTCTATGGTCAGTAGTTAAATTACATACCCTGCCTTAAATCTAATTTAGAGGAGAAAAACAAAAACCAAAAAACAAAAGTGTAGTTTTTCTAGAGTTGGTGTCCAGGCTGTTGCAAATGGCCTGAGCTATAATGTGTAGTATGCAAAGCAAACCGGTCTAACTCAAAATCTTTTTAACTGATACCAAGTCGATTGAACTAACACCTTACTAATAAAATGAACAAAGTCTTTTTGTTATTTGTAGGTGCCTCTTTTCTCCAGACCAGCTAAATATTTAGTGTAATATGTTTGACGATGAAAACACTTTCAGAGAGTTGCATAACCTATTAGTTACTATAATAGATCAGTTATTGATGTTTATGAGAAGCTCATCTTTAAAAAACAGACCCCCAAATCCCAAAGCTTTGAAAGAGTGGTCCATTGTGGTACAGAGGAGACAGCACTGAGCAGTCTGGAAACCATGGATTCAAATCCTGCCTCTGTTCCTTATTTACCTGTGTGACCTGTTCGAATGACTTGCCTAAAGTACCTTTCTGGTCCACACAGGCAGCATTTCACTGTTTACTTTACAAGTGATAGTATCACTTATATTAGCAACTACTGACTAATTTTGTGTGTAAATAGCAACTAGGGTCTTGGTTTTAGCACTGATTAGATGTTTGAGGTCCCTTCCAGCTTTAAAGCCACGATCCTAATGCAAAGCAGTTAAATTTCTAAGCTGTTCAAATTGTTGTTCAGTTGTATCTCATTGTGTCTGACTCTTCACGCCCCCATTTGGGGTTTTCATGGCAAAGATACTGGAGTGACTTGCCATTTCCTTCTCCAGCTCATTTTACAGGTGAGGCAACTGAGGCAAACTGGGTTAAGTGATTTGCCCAGGGTCACACAGCTATTAAGTGTCTTAGGCCAGATTTGAACTGTGAGGATGAGTATTCCTGATTCCAAATTGTGCCAAATATTTAAACAATCTGTCGCATTATGTGTGAAATTAGTTTTAAAATGTTGCTCTTGAAACTGACCTGCCATTTCTATTACATGTGTGACATGATCATATCACTGCTTACTATGTAACAGCAGATTGGCGGAGGCAGGATAGTGGATTGGTTCTGAGCTTGAAATCAGAAAGACCTAGGTTGGAATCCCACCTTACTTGCAACCCCATAAGACATCTGCTACATCACTCAAGAGTGTCCATCTGTGGAGGGAGTTTCCCCGAATTGATGAAATCAGAACTTCCTGTATTACTATATGCTATACGTGTGTGAATATATATTGTATATGTTCACAGCCTGATGAGTAATCAGTACAAACAGTGATTCACTTTTGGGACTGATGAATGATTAGGTCATTCTACAAAATCTAAGATGTTTCAAGTATTTTTCTCTGTTGATTTGAGCCTTGATTCCTGTTACTGAACAGTAACTCTGTACATGTCTCTGAAACCTTAAAAGTAATCTAAAAATTGTAAATTTTGCAACACCAGATTGTGCCAGCACCTGAGACCCATCTTCTTCAGCTGTTTGTTTAACTTTGTTTTTTTCTGTTTTTTCAGTTGATGATTGGATCATTTAATCCCTACTTCCATTGCCATATTTTGAGTCTACTTAATTCTTGAATTCATGTTAAATCATTTTAGTTCACAATTCCCTGAAAATCTCATTTGAGGAAATTAACTGCTTCTGAATATGAAATATTCTTACAGCAATTCAGTCTTCAGTTGCCATGTATGTTAAAAAAAAAGTCAGCAGTTGCTAAGATACATGATTCGTGAAAATAAGCAGAGAAATGCTGCCTTTTATGAGAGGCCAGAAAGACACTTCTGGCAAGTCACTTAAAAATTTAAAATTTACATAAAAATTAGTTAGCAGTTGCTAAGCTACTTGAAACTGTCGTTTATAAAAATGAGCAATGAATTGCTGCCCTTTATAAGAGCAGAAAGGTGCTTCTGGCAAGTCACTGAATGTTTTTCTGCCTCATTTCGCTCATCTGTAAAATGGGGATAATAATAGTACCTCCCTTACTGAATTATTGTAAGCATTAAATGAGGTACCACAATGATTATTGCCCGAGGGCACTCACCATTGGCCCATCCCTTCTCTTTTCTTTGTATATCTTCCCCAAGGTTTAGCACAGTGCCCAGCATTTAGAAAATTAATCTGTATTAACTGAATTGAATACCAGCACCCTATTATCTCTTTTCTGTACTAATGGCATGGTATACTAATTGGTCCCTGGTCCTTGGTATGCCCCACCTCTCCAACTATCCTGCATGTATCTGTGAGTTTAATTCAATAAACCTTTAATAGATACCTGTTATAGAGAGAACCTTGTGCTAGGTGGGGGGGGGGGGAAATAATTAGGTTCACTAAAGCACTGGCATTGTACTTGTAGAGTTTATTGTCTTCCAAGAGCATGTGATGGTAAAATGTAAGCTCTCTGAAGTCAGGGAATATTTTGTTTTTGTCTTTGTCTTGGCTTTAGCATAGTGCTAAATATAAATGGTAAGCACACACTTTTTTTTTAAAATTTCTAACTGAATTGCATTTAGTTACCTGCACAAGAAACTATAAAAAGTTAAGGTATATATAAACAAAGTGCTTTGTGAGATGACCTGAGGTGAATGGCCTTGGGGCAGGGTGTGTGGGGAGAGGTGTCAGGGAAGGTTTCTTGGAGGAGGTGAAATTTTCTGGGCTGTAACAGATGGGGTAGCACCTCTTGATAGAAGTGACGAAACTAAATGCAGAATGAAACATATTTTTGGACAGGACTAGTGTAAAAACCTATTTTTCCGGACTATGCATATTGGAAATAAGGATTTTGTTTTTCTTTTCATTTAGGGGTAGGAAGGGAAGGAAGACTAGAGAGAGTTGCCAAAAAAGAAAAAGACAAGAGATCATTGAAATATTTTTTTAATACATAGAAAAGAACAAAAGGAAAGTGAAGAAGAATCACTGACAAGCTGGACAGCTTTGAAAGTTACAAGATGAATGTGTCATATGCTTAAAAGGAAAAACAGCCTTTAGAGACATAGAGCTTCACTGGTGGCAGTGGGAATAGAAAGGAGGATACAAATGGGAAAGAAGCTGTCAGATATAGAATGTAGGAAGGGAGTGAAAATCCAGAGCTTCCAAGCATTTCTACTAGGTGAGTAGTGGTGGCCCTGATCAAAATACTGCGGTCAGAAGAGAGAAGGTAGTGTGGAAAAGCTGATGAGCTCAGAGGTGTTGGTGCCCTTTGGGAGAGTGGTGGGGATTGGAGTCAGGTTGTAGGTGCTTGAGGGGATAGTGGGAAGTGAGGGAGTAGGAGGATGGGCCATAGGCTACTTTTTCTGTGAATTTTGGAAGAGAAGAGGAGAGACATGGGACAGTAGCTGGAGGGGGCATCAGGAGTTAA